GACATAAAAGAGGACAATTATATGCTCTTGAAGAAGCAAAATTGGAAACACTTGCAGCAGTCAAATCTCCTTCAGCTTCTTCGGATTTGTGGCATCAACGAATGGGACATCCCCATTCAAAATTTTTACAAGTTCTAAATAAAAAGGAAGTGCTAAGCATTTCTAGTTGGCTAAATAGACATTCTATTTGTACTAGTTGTCAATTAGGGAAGCGTTGCAAACTTCTATTTTATACTAGTAATAAATTGTGCAAATTTCCTTTAGAAAAAATACATTGTGATTTATGGGGGCCAGCTCCTATTTCTTCTATTCAAAATTTTTGTTATTATGTTATTTTTATTGATGATTGCACTAGATTTACTTGGTTATATCCTCTTAAGCACAAATCTGATTTTTATGAATGTTTCTTGAAATTTCAAAAACTTGTTGAGAATCAATTTGATAGAAAAAACAAAATTTTTCAAAGTGATGGAGGAGGTGAGTTCACTTCCACACTTTTCACTAACCATCTTGCTTATTGTGGTATAGCTAAACAATTGTCATGTCCAGGCACACCTGAACAAAATGGAATTGCAGAAAGAAAACATCGACATATTGTGGAAACTGGTCTCACCATGATTTTTCATGCAAACTTACCACTCAAGTTTTGGGTAGATGCTTTTCTCACAGCAACAAACTTAATAAATCGTCTCCCATCATCTTCTCTAAATATGGAGACACCATATTTCAAATTGTTTGGAAGGCTTCCTAACTATAGTATTTTAAAGGTTCTTGGCTGTAAGTGTTTTCCTTATTTAAAGCATCAAAATCAAAATAAATTTTCAAAAAGAACTTTTTCATGTGTTTTTTTGGATATAGTCCTCTTCACAAAGGATACAGATGCATTGATCCTTTAACAAATAAAGTTTATATATCTAGACATGTAGTTTTTGATGAACAAATATTTCCATATTCTCACAATGTTTCAAGTGGTGATATTCCACAACTTGCAGTCACAACTTTTCCAGATCAAGAAGAATGGTTTTCTAAGTCAACCAATCACCATTCTCATCAAAACTTGACCGACAAAAGCACACAAGTTGACAACTCATATGTACCCCAAGTTGGTTGTTGCAATGAGCTAGATGATAATACCTCAATCGATCTAGTTAGTCACAATTTCAGACAACAAGATCTTGAAGCCTCTTAAACGGATGACAACAATGTTTCTCATGAAATACAAGACTCGTCTACAGCTCCCTCTATTACAGATCCAGATGTGACTCATCTTTAAACTTCTCGTCCAACTCGTGTTCGCCGCCCACCATCTCATTTGAAGGATTATATATGCCCCACCACTACTTCGTCCTCTCATCAAGATGTTGCTCTACTTACTGATCTTGCTCAAGAACCAAAGTCTCTCAAAACTGCTCTTAAATCACCTCATTGGTTTACTGCGATGCAAGAAGAGCTTACGGCCCTTTACTCAAACAACACTTGGCATCTTGTTCCTCGACCTTCCAACACCAATATCATTGGTTCTAAATGGGTCTACCACATTAAATACAAGGAAGATGGCTCGATTGATCGGTACAAGGCACGACTTGTTGCAAGAGGTTTCACTCAAGTTTCCGGGCTAGACTATGACGAAACTTTTAGCCCTGTGATCAAACCCGCAACCATTCGAATAATCCTTTCTCTAGCAGTTGTCTCGTGTTGGACAATCAAACAACTTGACGTTAAAAATGCTTTCTTACATGGTTTTCTCAAAGAAACTGTGTACATGGAACAACCACCAGGTTTTGTTAATCCAATTTTTCCCAATCATGTTTGCTTATTAAATAAATCCCTTTACGGTTTAAAATAAGCACCTCGCGCTTGGTTTGAGTGTTTATCCCATTATCTTTTTACCCTTGGTTTTTCTTGTAGCAAAGCAGATTCCTCTTTGTTTATTTACAAAAAAATAATAATCTTTTGCTACTACTTATCTATGTTGATGATGTTATTATAACAGGAAGCAATGATACTCTTATTCAGCAAATTATTCATAAACTTGGATGCGAATTTTCTCTCAAAGATCTTGGTGCCTTGCACTATTTTTTGGGAATAGAAGTCAAGCCTTTTGCTAGTGGCTTATTTCTCTCACAAACAAAATACACCAAAGATCTTCTCTCTCGTGCTCACATGCTTGAATCCTCCCATCAATCAACTCCAATTGCTCTTAAACCACCTAACCTACTAGATGATCACAACTTAGTCAATGAAACTGAGTTTCGAAGCATTGTTGGCGCACTTCAATATCTTACTTTTACTCGTCCTGATATCACTCATGCAGTAAATAAAGTTTGCCAACATTTTCATCAACCGACTCTTGCCAATCTTCGAGCTATCAAACGGATCCTTCGATACCTTAAAGGCACTATAACTTATGGTATTCGCTTTTTATCTCAAATCTCTCTCACTTTAAACGGTTTTTGTGATGCAAATTGGGCAGGTTGTCCTCTCACTCGTCGAAGCACCACTGGCTACTGTATCTTTCTTGGCTCAAATTGTGTGTCATGGTCTTCAAAGAAACAACCAACTGTTGCTTGTTCAAGTGCCAAAGCCGAATACCGTGCACTTGCTGCCACTACTGCTGAATTGACATGGATCGGGTATCTATTATGCGATCTGGGGATTCGCCTCATTCAACCACCTTGGCTCTTCTGCGATAATATCCGTGCTCTTCACATGACAAAGAATCATGTTTTCCACGCTCGGACCAAGCACATTGAACTGGATTACCATTTTATTCGAGAAAAAGTTACGCGTGGCGATCTAGTCACCAAATACGTCACTTCGCCACTACAAACTGCTGATGTCTTAACCAAAGCTCTTCCCAAATCATCTTTCAAAACTTTTTGAATCAAGCTGGGAGTTCATCCCTTTCCACTTCCCAGCTTGAGGGGGCCTGATAAAGTCAATGATGACTCACTTGCCAAAAATAACAAAGATTCTAGCACTAATGGAGGTAATGACAATATGAAAAAGGAGCAACCAGATTAGTACTCCAAACGGACAAAAAATCCCATGATATATGCAAAGCCGTTGGAAACAAACATGGCAATTTGTTATGCCATTTCAAAAGGATTACCTATTAAATAAAAATCATTTTCTAGGAGTTATTTAGCATATTACCGTTGCCTTTTATTGTATAAATATACATGTCCATACATCTTGCTGGACAATGAAAAAGAGTGAATAAATTCATTTTTCTATTCATTGCTTTTTCTCATTCCTTCTCTATATTCCCTTTACAATAAAATTCTTTACAAAACACCTATTTTAAACTCAAAAGTTAGCAGATGATGAGCACGAAAAAAGATATTGCGATGATCATTATGAAGTTGTGTGAGTCCCACATAGGTCATGGACTAAGCCTTCAATCTTTTGTAAAATTATAAACAAGAGCCTCTTGAACTTAAATTTTATCAACAATCGAACTTGACTGAAATTTCATCAATGGTGCTCGGGGCGGCTTCTCCCTGTTTATCAATGTCATCCTATAAAGAACATAACAAGGACTGTTGAGTTTGATTTAGCCTGCGATGTGGTTATTGACCATGTTAAAGGACCACTTGTATCACCTTAGAATATACAAACCATACCAGGCGTATGATCTGCCATGTTTCATTTTTCTGTGCTACTCACTTCCGAGCCAGTTTTACCACGAAATTTGTATGTTGAAAATATTTTCGATTGGTATAAATTTTGCCAGCTGCTTTCTTCTAATGGGCATTCCCGCGTTCATATTGATACTCTTCAAATGCATTGTCTTGTATATGTTTTAGAGTTTTGTATCTATTCTAAAGTCTATTCTTTAGTCTTGTATCTGTTCTTGAGTCGATTATCTTGTATGAGTATTTGTGAATTTTTAGTTGCCTGCATGTCGCCTGATTCACCAATCACTTGTTAATAAAAGGTCATGGATTTGATTGAAAAAACTTAATTCGAGCTTCATTTATATAACCCGTCATAAAGAAAATGCAATGACGAAGTCAGAAATTTTGTTCAGAGAGACTTGAGTGGAGGCTTGAGTTGAATAGAAGTATATATATATATATATAAACTAAATTGAGAGGGTAATAAATACTGAAAATCTCATAAATTTTTCTTTTATTATTTCTCTTTTTTAATTTCTTTTACTCTATATGGATTTTTTTTTTTTTTTTGGTTTTTTTCTTCAAATATGTAAACTCAAACAGTATTGCATTATATTTTGTTCATTTGGATTTTTACATTAGAAATTATAGTGGATACACGCAAAAAAAAAAAGAATAATTAAATAATAAGATATAACTGAAAGTTAAAATTAAAAGTGTGAATGAAATTTTTAAAAACATTTGTATATATTTTCAAATTATATACAAATTGTAGGGAGGTTTTGAATATTTCTAGAAGCAGCTAAAGCTAGTTTATTATTATTATTATAACTCGAAAGTCTGTTAGCAAATTTCTAGATGCAACTAGTCGAGTTAATTAGGCCATTGTTTGGAAATTACTGAGAAACTTTCCATTTATGCTTTATTATCAGTAGGCAGTAGTAGGAGAATAGAATGCCTTTGTACTTCCCTATAAAGCTTTTTTTTTTTTTTTTTTTTTTTTTTTTTTTTTTTTTAAAAAAAATCTGAAAAGAAACTAGAGATGCAAGAATGGGCAGGCCGGGCCCGACCCGTTCTCCTTAGGTCTATACGGGCCACGGGTTAAGTCGGGCCGGCCCATATAAGAATGACTTCGGCTCAGCTCACACCACGGGCCAATTTTACGTGTGCCAAGTTGGGCCGTGCTGCGGGTTAGGATGGACCGTGCATAGGCCTTGAATGGGCTGGCTCACTCAAGGCCCATCTTGGCCCATTATGGATTTAGATGGGCCAGCCCATTTAAGCATACAATTTTTAATTTTAATTTTTAAATTTTTAAACAAGTTAACAAATATATAAGTTTGAATAGTCAATGGAAATATGAAAATGAATATTTTATTTACGATTACCTTATTAAATAAAAACCTTTCTAAGAAAAATTCGGTGAGACAAAACCTTAATAAGAAAAAAAAGTATAATCATGATAATTATACATAAGATGTTTACGAAAACCATAAGATGTTTACAAAATTACTAGTGGGATAAAATCTTGATAAGGAAAAAAGAGTACAATCAGGATAATTATACATAAGATGTTTACAAAATTATTTAAAAAAAAAACATGAAGATCTTATGGGTCTAGATGGGTTGGGCTGGGCCGGCCCGGCCCATTATGGGCCTCGACGGGCCGGATTGGGCCGTCCCATCATGGGCCTAGAAGGGCCGGCCCAACCAGGCCCAAGTCCGGCATGGCCCATGATTTTTTATGGGCCGTGCCGGGCCGGCCCATGGGCGGAAATATGTTGGTCCAGCCCACCAATATTTATGAGCTGGGCCGTGCCGGCCCGGCCGTCACTGTGTCAAGATGGGCCTGGGTCGGCCCACGGAGCCCGGCCCATTGTTGCATCTCTAAAAGAAACTGGTGTAGTATTAATCAACATAAAGGTCCTCATGGACACAAGGAGCTAACCAGGGAGGGATAGCCTCAGTACAAAAAAGTCCTGGGAAGAAGAAAGTCCAAAACGGGCCAGTATATGAGTGACCCCATTGACATATCGGGAGCTAAAAATACAATCACGCCTAAGATCATCAAGCAAATAGCAAATGTCAAGGGCCGGCCCAACCCGGCCCAGTCTTGACATGAGAAACAACAGTGCTTGCATGCGTTTCAACAACACAAACTCTCCAATTGTTTTGCGGGGCAAAAATTAGGCCCTCCCTAAGAGAATGGTACTCTGCCACAAGAGAGCACACTCCATCCATCTTCTTAGAAAAAGCGCCCAAGACAAGCCGTTTGCGTCCCTAATGATCCCGCCCACTGCAAAGAAATCCATTTCACTAGTCACTGCGGCATACAGAACCACTCCAAGTCTTGGGGACTGCATTAATAGTGTTCCTCTCCTTCCATATGGCCCAAGCCAGCACACAGAACCACTCCAAGTCCTGCAATTTTATGGATTCAAGCATAAAGAGGCACACTCCTCTAAAGAAAACAACCTTGCATTTCTCCACCAAAGGTTGCAAATAGGAAGCGAAAAAGACCTCTTTTGCCTCGAGACAGCGAAGGGTTGTCAAAAGATGTGAATTACAAAGAAAAGGGGCAGAAAAGGTCCCAAGTTCCAATCTGATTATGACAAATTGTTCACATATATTCTCCCTCATGAGTTTCAATTTTAGCGGTACTCTGATAAAATATGGATATCACTTCTCTTTCATGGAGACTTATCTAATTTACTTGCAACCTTTTGGATTTCATATTCTGCCGGAAATCCCAATAAAAAGTCCTGTGCATCTCATGCTGGGTGCCTCCTTTGGTTCTGCAGCAAAAGGAACCGAACTCGAGGCTCTTGAGTTTGCTTTCTCTCTCTATATGTGACCCTGTAGATATGTATGGTTTAACCGTTGACCCTGGCTATAAAGAATGGTAAAATTTGTTCCTTATACCAACTATTATTGTTCAAATTGTTTCTCAGAATTTTGCGGTAAAGTAACTTGTAAGTTTCGTTTCAGGACTAGATACTTCTCGGAAATCTCGACAATGTCATACTCCTTTCATGGCGGGCATACTACCAAAAGATCGTCTTCTAATGCTTTCTGTCCTTTCTTATGTTTCATCATACCTTTGTATACGTGCTATTCTATTAGTTATTTGGTGAAGTTGGCATGTTTCTGATTATTACTTTAATATTATCTCAAGTTGTTTGCACACTATAATATTTTCGTCCTTCTCTCAAGTTGTGAAGGGAATGCCGTAGCTAATAATGCTTTTATAACTTTCTTGACCTACAAGGCATCACATTTCAAACGTAACAATGAGATTATAACAACAGTAATTTCTGATATGCATTTCATTCCTCCGTCCACATGAAAGATGAACTTGGACAAACCCGACAAGTGAATATACATTAGACCATTTCAATTTCAAACTTTTGCGCCTTTCCTCTTGCAAATGACAATCTCATGACCAGAAACTAGTTATTGGATTAGCAGGGGTAGCTTAGTACTCAACACAAAATAGTTTGTCTAAAGATGCAAGGGAAAAAGCCAACTGGTAATCAGATATTGTTCCATGGTATGTCCGGAATGGCCGAGCTGATATGGTTTTAAATTATTATGAAATAATAAGTCATGACACATCTAAAAAGAGATCCAAGGACAAAAATTACAAATGGTACATTCTGAGCTGTTCAAGAGTTGATGAGCCCAACAAATTTTGTTATGTTTCTATCCATATCAGTTTCTTCTAAACAGAGAACCAGTTTGCCGTAGCTAAATAACCTACATTCAATCGAAACAATTAAGTTATCATGGAGATTATACAGTTTGCTGTCCAAAGTTCTCTACTTTCTATAACCAATTATGGGGACATTTCATCTCTTTTCACCTCCAAGCTAGTCTCCGCACAAATGAGAAATGCTTTTGTCACTCTCAATATCACTTTGCATTTTGACACGTTTTGACACGTAAGAGTGATGCTAGCATTTCTCATCACAAATACACTGGACAGCTTACAACTACAAGCTACAATATAGTCATGATAAATTCTCTAGCTTTATATTCATTAACCTAAAAGAAAGCACATGAAGCACCAAAAAAATCAAAGAGAAAATGAAACTACTCAAAATTCAAAATGTTACTAAGTTGGAAAACTTTATACCAAAAGCGCAAACCAGTTTTCACTTCAGACATGCACTTACATTGCCATGGCTGAGAATTTTGCATCTTTCTTCATTTTTTTGTTCTTTTTCTAACATTCAGCAACAAAAGCAAAAAAACCTCCCCAACAAAACTCTATGAAAATCCCTTCCCAAGCTTCTGAATTGCGCAGAACATTTTCCTTCTAGAACCCACTGCGTTTATCCCCATATCCTTGAGATCCTCCAAAGTTAGCATTGGCAAAACCTCATCATCAACCTCATGGACTTCGAAAACTGGAGCATAACGACCAAGCCCTAACCCATTAAGCCAAACCCTAACCCCATCTTCTTCACACCTCGCTCTTCCGCCATTCCCATTTCGGTCTCCGCATTTCCATTCTCTCGCTTCGTTATCAGAAGGACCCGACAATTCCATGCCGTCATGGTTGTCCGAAACCCTAGCCCTAATTTGCCTCCGATTCCCGTGGTAAAGCACCTCCCTTTCGTTGCCAATCCCATGGCCGTCCACCGCCAGATTCTCCAGCGAATGAATCGGACTCTGCTCCTTCAACGGACTCTCCGAATTCTCGACATCGAAATCCCTATTCCCGTCGTCGACGTCCTCTCCGGCGCTATACTTCTCGTCCCCTTCCGCTCCTCCGGTGTCTGCGCCGCCGCCGCCGCCGTCGTCGAGCTTGGGGGAAATCCAATTGGATCTGATCCTCTTGGTGGAAATCGAGCCTCGCTTCTTAGAATCCTTGAGCTTCCAGCTCCCAATCGCCATGGTCTCAAGATTCGCGTCCCTAATTTCCCTCTCGTCCAAGTCTAGGGCATCGAGAGCGTCGCCGCCGGAGCTGAAGTTGATCAAAGGTCGAGTCTTGGAGGTCTTGGCGAAGTCTCTGTTGGTCCGCTGGCTATGGTGGTGGTGCTCGATTGGGAGCTTCCACTGCTTAGAAGTGCGGCGGACGTGGGAATCGTAGGGCTGGTCTCCTCCGATGTCGCCCAATCGGACGCTCGGCCTCCGCTGCCGCTTCGATCCGACGGTCTCCGAAGGTCCCATTAACATCGCTCCTCCTCCTCCTCCGACTCCGCCACTAACGGCGCCGCCAACCCCTCCGCCGCCGTTGATCTGAGCCTCCGGAGGCTGTATCTCCGCCATTTGTTTGAACCCCAAGAAATGGTCTTTCTTTTTCTTTAGTTTCTAGAGAGAGAAGCTAACGAAGTGCGTGTGAGAACTGAGAGATGTTCAAGAGAGAGAGAGAGAGAAAGGGAGCGGAGTACATGAAGAGATTGATAAGATAGATATTAGAGAGAGAGAGAGAGAGAGGGTTTAATCATTCATTCGGAAGTGAGTGATGCAGAGAGAAAGGGAAAGGCTTTTGGAGTTTAGAGAGAGAGAGAGAGAGATTAGTTGAAGCGAAGAGTTCGTGGAGAAAGCTGTCCTGTGGCTTTAGAACACCAACGCGTGTCTCCTTTATTAGTTTTTTTTTTTCCTTAATAAAAGATATCAAAAATCTATTTAATCCATTAATTTTTTTTTCGTTTAGAGTGTGAATTCACAATTATTAATTAAATTAGATTTCTCCATAAATTTTAGTTGTGGTAAGTATAATTAAATCCTGAAATACGTGAAAATGATCTTTTTTACACGTGTTGTTTTAATAAATGTCACAAGTTTAATAAACGCAGAAAAAATTATCATTTTCTTTTAAAAGATTTTTTTTCTTAAATAATATATTAGTCAAAATTAACATATTAATTTATGGTCAATTATTAATTAACTGATATTAATAAGTATTTAACTAATACCGCTTAATGATTTATTGATTGAACAAATCTAATAGGCCAACTAACTATCATTTTTTTTAAAGAGATTTTTTCTGGTAAGCTTTTTTATAGGTAGTATAAGTTTCTACTATTAAATTTAGTTAAAATATATAAGATTAAAAAAAATATGCAAAACATGTAATGTGCGGTACAGATCTGAAGATTGAAAAGTAGAGAATTATTAATAGCTTATTTTTTTTAGTCCTATCAGAAAAACTCCATTTTTTAAAAAATAAAAAGGAAAATTTCATATTAGTACATTGTGTTTTAACATAATTGTCTTTTAATACTCTGTATTTTTAGTAATTTTAAATTAATATCTCGATGTTTTAAAAACTCATTTTTAGTACTTTTAGGTCATCTTTTAGAATGTAAAATGTCAAAATTACCATTCTTATTAATTAACCAAAAAATTAAAAATAAATTTTGGAGAAATTCTGAAATTTTTTTAAACATTTAAAAATTAAAAACAAAAATAAGGCTTTAAATTTAAAATAACTTTTTTCTTAATTTATTAGTTTTTAGTAAATTAATGAGAATGGTAAATTTGATATTTTTCATCGTAAAAAATGACCTCAAAGTACTAAAAAATAATTTTTTAAAACGTCAAGACACCAATTTAAAATTACTAAACACACGGTACTAAAAGACAATTATACTAAAACACATGGTACCAATATGAACTTTTCCCAAAGTAAAAAGTTTTGATATTTTTTTCATTTGAGACTTTCTCTGGTAGTCCTTGTAAAAATAGATTACTGTTAGTCTCTTACTTTTTAGCTATCGGATATATGTATCAAAATTTATCTATTATGCATACTTTTTTAATCTGATGTGATTTTAACTGGATCTAATTGTTAAAAACTAACACTATCAGTACAAGTACATCAGACTACCAAAGAAATTTTCTTTTTTTCTTAAGGAAAAAAAGGGTAAAATCAAGTAGCTTATTATTATTTAATGTGATAATAATGCATTAACATTGGAATGATGTCATAGGAAGATATATAGTAGGATCCCCGAGTGAGATTGGGTTGTGTGGATTTGCACGAGAGAGAGACTCGCTAGGCTCGCATTAATGGTTCTTTTCCTCGGTACTTATCATCATTTATCAACAGAGAGCCATGTACAATGTATTAAAAGACTCGAAGGTTGTAATAAAGGATCTGTTCCTCTCTCTGGCATCTGCTCGTTTTGTTGGTTCAGAGCCAAACATGCTTCTACTTCTTTGACAAACCCAAAATGGAAATCATCAATGAGAGATAAGAGCCTTTATGAGTTTTGCTTCAAAGTGAAAAATTGCCTACTTTAGTATATACCCAAATGAGTAAATGAGCCAATTAGAGTTTTCAGGCAAGAGACGGTTGGACTGCTGGATCATAACGCCTCGCCTTCTGAAAGCTCCGTTCGTTTCGCGGGGGTCGAATTAAATGGCTTGAATCTTTTTGGTTTGAACTAGTTATCTTTTTACCAGCAAATCAAAAATATTTTTAATGACAAGACGCTATCTGAAAAGAACAAATCTACGATCAAGTGGGAATTCTAGGATGAGGAAACAAGTGGTCTTCAAGCAAGTTGTCCTATGAAAATCTGGATGCCACTCGAACACCTGGCTTGTATTATGTTGAGCACATATCTTGGAAGTTGGAATAGAACACAGCAAGAAAGTAGCAGAAACAAACACTATTAAAATATCATAAGAGTGTGCAGTATAAAATGTAGCAAAAATGTATTGGACTTGGCAAACATTACAAACGACAAACTGAAAAGGGATGATGATCACAAGTCTTACAGGCAAAAAGGCAAGGCTTCGTTTATCCTTGCAGAAGTAAAAGAATTGATTTTACTGTTGTATAAGCAGCTAAGTCACACTGAAAGAACCGAACCGTGAGTAAAAAAAACTCGGGTAATTGAATCCTCAAATGTTAGGCTACAAATTTTTTCCTTTGACCATTATGGAAACATTTACAAAAGTATAGAAAATCAATTCTTAAAATGTTGAATGGAGAAAGTAGTGGATCCTCTCCAAATTTATAAACTTCTGTGCAGCTTCTACTTTTGCCTTCTCCCTACATTGGTTAGGCTACTGTTTCTTTACCAAGAAGCTCACTAATCTTTTCAGGTCGCTCTGAGGGAAAGTCCGGTAAATTGAGATTTACCTTGTTGGCACAGTGCAGAGCATACCATGTTCAGGGTTATGTTCTAAAGGGTACATTGTTGCGCCTCTTGCGTATTTCTGATGGTTGATGGCATTTCTTCTGAGATTTTCTATGCGCTTTCTTTTGACTTGTTTTTTAATAATGGAACATGCACCTAGTGGATCTCCAGACCCTGCTCCAGCTCTCCTATAGACATAGAGAAAAGCATAAACACATCTTCAACTCCTAAGCAAACCATGGTGTAGCTACATATCAAACTTGAAACATCCAAAGTGCACTAGAGCATTGATCGATTGTAAAAGTAACATCAAATCACAGGTAAATAGATTAGTTAAAGAATTAGAAGTTCCGATACAAAAGTAAGCCAGATATGGATAAAAGAGCTTGCATCGAACTAAGTCAGAGTCTATGCCATTGATCTTCTTTTAAGTTACCTTCATTTTCAGACCTCAAAATCTACAAACTAGTTTTAAACAAAGATGAGCACTTTTTTAGAGAGTACATCTCGCATTTCATATGCGATAAATATATAGCAAACAACAGCTGGATAGCTTCGAACAACCAATGCATATTCTTTTACCATGTAGGTCATTATTATCAGGACTAAGTATGGTGGATGTGGATGGCTCTACTGGCTAAAACTACAACTAGTTTACAAGCAAACTTCTCGAAACCGATAAAAGTTGCCTATTTCAATAAACAAAAAAAATTTGAAGTTTTCAACAGATAAGAAGATGAGAAACATAAGAGGTTACTTACCTTAAAATTTTCTCTGATGCAATTCTAGCAGCCTTAACTGTACCTCTGTCTGGTACCCATTTCACAACACGGTTTGGATCAGCTCTCATTGGAGAATGAATTTTGATGAGCTTAACAAGCCAGAATCAATGTCAAATTAACAGTACAAAAGGAAATAATATAGGGTGCATAAAAAACTTGAGAGAATATCAAAGTAATAATCAGAAAAATGTCATTTTAACCAAATAGTAGAATAGCACGTATTACAGAGGTTCCATAAAACCTAAGAAAGGCCAGAAAGCATTAAAAGACTTACACCCAAACACTCCATCATTTGGTAGTATGCCCGGCCATGCAATGGAGTATGGCCTTGTCGAGATTCCGAGAAGTATCTAGTCCTGAAACGATATTTATAAGTTACTTTAAACATATAGAAAACAATTTAAACGTTACTAGTTGATATAAATCAACAAGTTTTACCATTCTTTATAGCCAGGGTCCACAGTGAAACCATACATATCTACAGAGTCACATATAGAGAGAGCAAACTCAAGAGCCTTGAGCCCAGTTCCTTTTGCTGCAGAGCCAAAGGAGGCACCCAACATGAGATACACAGGATTTGTAATTGGAATTTCCTGCACAAGATGAAACCCAAAGGTTGCAAAGTAAATTAGATAGTCCTCCATCAAAGAGAAGTCATATACTCATGTCCAATTATATTAGGAAACAGCTATAATTGAAATCTACGGGGGAGAATATATGTGAAGTTGCCATAACCAGACTAAATACATGTTCGGATATTTTCTGCACCCCCCCCCCTCCACCTCTCTTTTTTTATTTTTTTAAATTGTAATTCAGATCTTTGGGCAACTTCAGAAACAGAAACTTTAAAGCTACATATATTGTTTTGCTAAAATCTCAAAAATCATATGTATGACTATATGTGGATGTGTACTTTTTATGCGTGCTTAAAAGATTCATGAAAAAGAAATGAACTCTTCCAAACAGAAAGATGTTCCGTTCTCTTACTACTAGCTACTGATCATAAAGCACCAATGACCCCTCGAAAGTTTCTCAGTAGATCCCAAACAATGGCCTAATTAGTTCAAGTTAGCTCGACTAAAATGAACAAGATCATATCAACCTGCAAACGAATTTTTCAAACAATATTGTTCTCTTTAATTAGAAGCAAAATTTTATTAATCGGTTTATACCCTGCAACAAGTATCTATCCTTCCATGAGAATAAAACTAGAACTTCATGTATCAAGCTTTCACAAAGGCACTGTAAAAAGGAATATACTAACTCGAATCATTTGGTTCATAATGTCATGAATGGTTGTTTTAATGATCAAAACCTCCTTCCTTGATTCTGCAGAATTTATTCAATTAGTTGCTTCTAGAAAAATGCCATCATCATTCTGAGTTACAATAAGCAACTAGCTTTAGTACAATGATACCATCTAACTCAACAACTTTATCAAGAGCTTTGGCTGATCCCCGGTTAAGAAGACGGAAAGTACTTTTCCTCCCCACATGCTCAGTGTAATTCTATAAAAGGAACAACAAAAGTGCAGGTAAGAAAATAGTTCAGAGCAAAGAAAATGTTAAAAACTTGTGAAACCGAGTAAAGCATCAGCTTCACCTGGATTGGTGCTCCATTTTCTCTAAAAACAGCATCGTATCTATCTATCTCCTTCCCAAATTTCGTTTTTAAAAGATCCCCCGAGTTTCCAATAACAGCACAACGTCCAAACTGCTGAGGGAAATATGGAGGCGTTTCGGGGAGTACAAGTGAAAGTTTCTCTATGCATAACCTTTTATTCTCACAGCGGTTTCTGCATTATAACAAATCATCAAACTGCAGTAGTGCTACAGATCCTCCATAAATTGAATAACCATCTACTACAGCTAATCTATTGTGAATTACTTACAGAAGGACTCCTTTGTTAATCCTACGCCACGCATAATCCTCCCAACCATTTGGTAAAGAATCAATGAACTCTTTGGTCAGTATCGTGGTACTATTCCGAACCTGAGCAATCAACTCACTGAATAATAAATCAATTGAAAAGCATAAAACAAAACCTTAAACAAGCATGTTAAGTGGGGGTTAGAAAAACAAATGAAAAGATAAAAAACTTAAGATTTGCCTTATCGATAAATAAACCAGTAACTATAAAAAAGAAAAAAATGGTTATTCATGTGCATATTACGTTGTTGAAGAGTGCAAGTAGGCAACAATGCAAGATGACACAAATCAAGGTTAAACCCACCGGTTCCCATGTAGCAACAGCTTCACAAATGTTAAAGTCATATGATACACCTTCAAGTTCACCAGTTTTAGGATCTCTCTGTTCCATTACAAGTTCCACACAAAAACTAAGTCAGAAGAGAGAATTCACTTGTATACTAGCAAAAAACCAACATTTTTTTGCATCGTATCCCTTTTCATAAAGTTTACATTTGCAAATATAAGCATAATATTGCTAGATTTTATAGCCTACTCAAAAGAAAATCAGAAAAACATACCCATTTTGGAATGGTATCACTAGGAAATTTCATTGTGACTTGGCAATAATCTCCGCTACTAAAAGCTTGTAAACCTAATCCATTCGCACTCTGCATCATCATCAAATATAATATATAAATATATATATATATATATATATATCTCGGTAAGAAACACACTTCGTGCGATTCCAAAGTTCCATTATTCGAAGATACTCAAAGCAAAAAACATTAAACAAAGCACATCAATTTGGGGAGAAAATCAAAGTAATAGCATGATATTAGCAAAATCAAGATTCAAAATAACGTTTGATACGAGAAATCATATAATATAGCGTGATTAAGGGCACAAAAACACGATAAATTTTCTCTAGAAAAGAAGAAAAACGAGCAGAAACTGACCACACACTTCTGGAAACCGCTGTGCAAAGACTGCAAAGCCTCCAAATCTTCATCCGAAAGCGAAAGCTTGCCATCTATCATTCATTGGAACTCAGACAATTAAACAATATACTATATAAGTAAACATACATACATACAAACATATACATACATATATATATATATATACACACATACGGAGGTTAGAGACTCCGGTGATGTAGATGAAGATGGCGGCAAATCCAGAAGCCAAAGCGACGAGAAATGCGAGCTGCAAAAGCCTCATCTACTACCAATTTCAACAAAATCCACACCCACAACAACTGATTAAGGAATTTGAGCGCAAAAAGAAGGAGATTTTTTTCGCAGAAATGGTTAATGGTTAACAGTTTTCAGTGCTCGGACGGATCTGATGTGTAAGAGGAAGCGAGAGAGTGTCTAGAGAGAAGAAGAATAATAATGATGGAAACAGCGGTCCTACATAAGTGGGCAATTTTCGTCGTTTTTGGTCGTTTCTGTCGTTTCTTGTGCTCCTGTCGTTTAAGCTTATTGTCGTTTTCTCTCTGTTTTGCTCGTCTTGTCACTGTGTTGTCGTTTCTCCAATTGCTGTCTTTTTCTTACGTTTCTGTCGTTTTTCAACTTTCTCCTCATTGTCTTTTTTGTCGTTTCTCTACTATGTACGTCGTTTCTTATGAAATCCTTTTCGTAGTTTTATTTTTCGTCAATTTTTATGTGCCTGTCGTTTGAAATTTGTTGTTGTTTCTTACGTTTCTTGCGTCGTCCAATTTTTGCTCGTTTTCTTCACCATCCCGTCGTCTTCCCAATTAGTGGCCTTTTTTTTTTCTTCCTCCTGAGACTTGTTTAGTTCAAATTTTATGAGAGAACTCATTAAAAAAAACTTTTTTCTTAATTTAATTTTTTTTATGAGAGACAAACACTCTAGTAGAATCAAAATTATGGGTTTGAACTCATGAACCAAATATGCCCTTAATGTTCTAATGGTGTTGTTGACATTTTTTTTTTTCTCATGTACCGGTCGTTTCAATGAATTATGTTCCAACCCTTTTTGTCGTTTGATATGTTCTTGTCGGTTTTTTTTTTCTTGTTATTGATTCTTTAGTCTTTAAACTATTAGTCTTGGTGCATAATTGTTTCAAAAAATTAATCCCTAATTTTTTATTAATGAAAATAATCATGTACATATCACACAATAACTTAAAATTGTACGAGAATAGCCACATAAAAAGAACAATATTTCTTTATTGTCCTTCAAAACATTTAGAAGTTGCCTATTTTTATTTTTAAAGGGAATCATTTCTAATCTCATTACCTTTCTTATTATATTCTTTTATAGTTTGATAAACACGGTAAGAAACTATCAAAAGCATTTCAGGGATTAATCGGCCAACAAAGGAAGTTCATGCATTAAACTGTGAAATATTCATAATGTCGTTATTCCTTGGGTCATTTATCACGTACCTGCGGTTTAAGAATATTGTGTGTTTCTCACTTTTTTGTCGCCGTCCAGTTTTATGTCGTTTTTAACTATGTCGGGGTTTTGTACACAATTGTCGTTAGTCAGTTGTTGTAATAATCGTTTATGCTGTTTTTCTACTCTCTTCTTTTATTCTCAATTATTAGTCGTCTGAATGTATTGTATTTCTTACCTTTTTATGATTATACATTTTCCCTTTTTTCACTATGTTGTCATTTATCCCATTGTTGTCGTTTTATACTTTCACATCGCTTTTTAAAGTTGTTGGCATCATCTCTCTCTTTTTTTTCCTTCTGTTTCTCCGTTTTTTTAAACTAGTTTTTTTTTGTTCAAGTTTATTGCTACCTTTTTACCTGTTCTTCATTGTACATTTTTTTTTCTGTCGATTTTCACTATGTTGTCGTTTGTCCGATTGTCGTCTTTTTATAGGTTCCTGTTCTTTTCAGGTTAATGTCTTTATCGTTGTTGTTTTTTTTGTTGTTGTTGCAGTTTCTCATGTTCCTGCTGTTAAAGTACATTGTTTTCTTTGCTTGGTTATCCAGTTTTTCTTGCTCTTACACTATGTTGTCGTGTGTCTGATTGTTGTCGTTTTTTAATTTGTTGTCATTATCTGGTTATTTTTCGTATTTTTCAGGTCTATTTTTATTGTTTTTTTTTTTTATTACTTTTCGTCACGCCCTATTTGTTTGTCGTCTTCAAATGTTGTCGTTTTGTATGTTCCTGTCGTTTATCTAACTTGTTCTCATCGTTTTTTCTGTTTTAAATTTTATGTGTCTGCTTCTCATGTTCCCGTCGTTTAATTGCTTGTGCTTGTTACCTTTTTATTGTTTAGATTTTGTATCGTTTTCACAATGTTGTCGTTTGTCCAATTGTTGTCCTTATGTAGGTTCCTGTTCGTTTTCATGTTGCTAGGTGCTACCATGATCGGTTTTTTTGTTGTTAATATTTTTTTCTCCTTTATTATGTCATTTTTGCTTAAGTTTGTTGGTTTTCGTTTCTTATGTTATTAGAATCCAGATTGATTAGAGATATTGATATAATCCACTTAATAAGGTGATGACAATTTTCTCTTAATAAACTGGTTTTGCTAGGTTGAGCTAGGCCTAATATCATTTGATTTTTATAAAATGGTATCAGATCAGACCCAGTTTTACAATGTGAGGTATGACAATATCGACTTATTCACAACGGTTTGGTATGGTCCACACTGTGCGTGAGGGAGCGTATTAGAATATCACATTAACTGGAGATATTGGTATGATCTACTTAATAAAATAAGAGCAATCATCTCTTAATAAATCGATTTGATTAGATTGAATTAGACTCAATATTCATTTCTGTAAAATATGTTGTCCGTTTCTCGCGCGTGTTGTTGATTCTTACCATTCGGTCTTTGCCCATTTTGTCGTTTTTAACTTTTTGGCATATCCAATTCTTTTTTTTTTAATATCAAGTTTAATGTCGTTTCTCTTTTTTTTTTTCCTCCTTATAGTTGACCCTTTTTCCACCTTTTTTTTATTCATCTGTTCAATCACTGAAGTTTTGTTTATTGTCGTTTGTAAAGTATTTGTCATCATTTTTGCTCTCTTACCTTCCTTCCGTTTCAAGTTAAGTCTCATGAGTCGTCTCTTTTTCTTATTGGGTCGTTCTCCAATTTTTCTCATCATCCACTGTGTTATACTCTTTTTGAGCAAATTGCTTAATTTATTTTTAGAGTTATGAGTTTAAATTTTTATTCTTTATTTTTGATTAATTTTCTTTAATTATTATAATTGTTTGACTAAAAAGAATATTAATCAATAATAGGTAAAAATTCAGACCCGTATTTATCTTTTTTTTCCTTTTTTTTTTTTTTTTTTCTCTTTTATCGTTTCATATGTTGCTGTCGTGTTATTATTGTTTTTTTTTTTCCGTTATTTCACTATGGTGCCAATTATTGGAACCTGTCTTTTAATATATATATATGTTAAAACCTGTCGTTTTCATCATAATTTGGTGTTTATTTCCTCTGTCGTTTTTCAACTCCCTTTTTTTTCCCCCAAAAGACCAAAGTTTCAACCTTTTTTTTTTCCTCACCAGCCCAATATCCAACGTCAGTTGTCTGTGCTTGATTGAAGTCTTTATGTCTCTGGCCAAAAAAAAAAAAAAAAAACTGATTTTTAAGTAAAAAATTGAAGGTTTTGGTTGAGAGAAAATCGGTGAACTCACTTGTTCTAAAATTTTTATTTTTATTTTTTTATTAATACCTCTTTAATTAATATAATTTTTTAATTAAAATATGTTAATCAAGAATATAGGGTAAACATTTAAAATCTCTGTGTTTATATGCTTTTCCTTTAGTTAATGGGCGATGCTCAATGGCCCATGAGGCCTAAACCGCCTAAGGGATAAACAAGGGGCGAATTCCACTTCATTTATAGACTGTGGAGTGTGGAGAAACTTAACTCGTAAACTTAAGGTTCGGTTTGGTTGAAAGGATTGAAAATAAGAAGGAGAAAAAAAATTAGAAGGAGAGAGAATAGAAAGGAGGGAGAATATTATAATAATTTTTTATGTTATTTGGTAAGATAAATAAAAAGGTAAAAAGATGTATGATAGTTATTTATAAAATTATTATATTATCTATTTAAATTATTTGTTAATAATTTATTTTAAAGGTAAAATAGTCTTTTATATGTAAAAGTAGATGGATTTTATGAATCCTCTTATAAATAAAAGGATCTAATTTTATGGGCCTAAGATGATGAGTTCTCCCTCAATCTCCCTCTTCTTTTCTCTCTTTCCTCTAATCAAACAAATAATTTGCTGTCTCCTCCAACTTTTTCCCGAAATACCAAAGTTTCAACCTTTTTTTTCCTCACTAGCCCAAGATCGAACGTCACTTGTCTGTGCTTGATTGAAGTAAAAAAAAAAAAAAAAAAAAAAACGTGTGTTTATACGCTTTTCCTTTAGTTAATGGGCGATGCCCAATAGCCCATGAGGCCTAAACCGCCTAAGGGATAAACAAGGGGCGAATTCCACTTCATTTATGGACTGTAGAGAAACTTGCCTTATAAACTTAAGAGTCCGTTTGGTTTGGTTGAAGGGATTGAGAATAAAAAGGATAGAGAAAATTAGAAGGATAAAGAAAATTAGAAGGATAGAGAATAGGAAGGATAAAGAAAATTAGAGGGATAGAGAATAGAAAGGAGAGAGAATATTATAATAATTTTTCATGTTGTTTAGTAGGATAGAGGAAGAGATAAAAGAATGTATGATAGTTATTTATAAAATTATTATATCATCTATTTAAATTATTTGTTAATAATTTGTTTTAAGGGTAAAATAGTCTCTTACATGTAAAAGTAGATAGATTCTATAAATCCTCTTATAAATAGAAGGATCTAATTTTATGGGTCTAAGAAGATGAGTTCTCCCTCCATATCCCCGTTCCTTCTTCTCTTCCCTCCAACCAAACAAATAATTTGTTGTCTCCCTCCAACTCTCCCTCTCCACCCCCTCTTCATCCCTCCATCTCTCCCTCCAACTAAACATACTCTAAATAACTATCAAAATTTTCAACAAATATGTATATATCTATATATAAGTAAGTATATCATATTTTAAGAAATGTTCTAAACTATTGTTTATGGCATTTTGACTCATGATAATTTAGATTTCCGTACTTCTGTATTCGGCTGTTCATATCACAAGTTTATATAAGATAATTGTGTCGACATGACAATTTGATAAAATAAACATAACACCCACGTCTGAGCGTTTGAGATAATGACACATATATATATATATATATATATATATAGAGAGAGAGAGAGAGAGAGAGAGAGAGAGAGAGAGAGAGAGAGAGTAGAGTGGTTCCTTTGCCCTCTATACCCTATGACTGTTAAACAACAAAGGAACCAGAGAAGAATTG